CTAGAATAGTGAGATATGGTAGGATACAGTGGGATATTCTAGGATAGCCTAGCACAGTGTACGATAGGCTTGGATATCCTAGGATAGTTTGGGATATGTTAGGATAGTGTGGATGGTACATGATAGGCTTCATTACTCTAGGATAGGGTGGGATAGGCTTAGATAGGTTGAGATAGCCTAGGTTTCTTTGAAGTATGCTAGAATAGGCAGGGATAACCTTCGGTATTGTAGGCTAGGGTAGCCTAGGATTGCCTAGAATAGTGCAGGATAGGCTGGGATAGCCTAAGATAGTGGGGAAAAGGCTAAGATAGTCTAGGATAAGTTTGGATAGTGCAGAACACCCTAGGATAGCCTAGCCTATCCCAGCCCATTGTAGTCTATTCTAAGACTTTCCCACACTGTCCTGGGCCATTCTAGCCTATCCCACTCTATCCTAGCCTATACTACACAGTCTTAGCCTGTCCCACACATCTTAGGCTATCCCAGCCTGTCCTAGCATTTTTCATACTATCCCAGCGTATCCTAGCCTCTCCTGCAGTATCCAAGACAATCCTATCCTCTGCCCTAGCGTATCACAAACTATCCTAGGCTATCATAGTCTATCCCACACTCTTATGCTATCCTACAGCATCCTGGGTTATCTCTGGCTATTCTAGCCTATCCCATAGTATCCTAAGCTATCCAAACCTATCCCACTATCCCAGCCTACCCTGGAGTTTACCTGGAGAGAGTTCCAGGGGTCAACGCCCCCGCGGCCCGGTCTGTGACCAGGCCTCCTGGTGGATCAGAGCCTGATCAACCAGGCTGTTTCTGCTGGCTGCACGCAAACCAACGTATGAGCCACAGCCTGGCTGATCAGGAACTGACTTTAGGTGCTTGTCCAGTGCCAGCTTGAAGACTGCCAGGGGTCTGTTGGTAATCCCCCTTATGTGTGCTGGGAGGTAGTTGAACAGTCTCGGGCCCCTGACACTTATTGTATGGTCTCTTAACGTGCTAGTGACACCCCTGCTTTTCATTGGGGGATGTTGCATCGTCTGCCAAGTCTTTTGCTTTCGTAGTGAGTGATTTTCGTGTGCAAGTTCGGTACTAGTCCCTCTAGGATTTTCCAGGTGTATATAATCATGTATCTCTCCCTCCTGCGTTCCAGGGAATACAGGTTTAGGAACCTCAAGCGCTCCCAGTAATTGAGGTGTTTTATCTCCGTTATGCGCGCCGTGAAAGTTCTCTGTACATTTTCTAGGTCGGCAATTTCACCTGCCTTGAAATATTCCAGCCTAGATAGAACAAGTGACCTGAAGAGTGTCATCATGGGCTTGGCCTCCCTAGTTTTGAAGGTTCTCATTATCCATCCTGTCATTTTTCTAGCAGATGCAATTGATACAATGTTATGGTCCTTGAAGGTGAGATCCTCCGACATGATCACTCCCAGGTCTTTGACGTTGGTGTTTCGCTCTATTTTGTGGCCAAATTTTTTTTTTTGTCTTGAGAAGATTTAATTTCCCTGTTTACCATATCTGGAAAATTGAAAATTTCTCATTTGAACTTCATTTTGTTTCTGCAGCCCACTAAAAGATTTGGTTTTATGTCCGCCTGGAGCCTTGCAGTGTTGCAATGGAAGAACTGTATCCAGGGGGGTTCGGTGTCATCTGCAAAGGAAACGGTGCTGTGGCTGACATCTTGTCAGTCGGATTGGGGAGAGGAAACTACCTAGGAAACCTGCTTATCCCACAGTAACGTTATTTCAATATACCCAGCCTTTCCACAGTATCTTAGGCGCCCCTGCTTACCCTAGCCTACCCCCACTATCCAAAGCTTTTCTAGCAAATCCCACACTTCATGGGTTTCCCCAGCATACCCCACATTTACCTGGGCTTGTCAACATATCCTAGCCTATCCTGCATATCCTAGGCTATCCCAGCCCATCCTACAGCTCCTGGGGCTTCTCAGATACCCGCACTATTCAAAGGCAGTCCTACCTATTTCCTACCCTAGGCTTCCCCCCCTATACACCCTACCCCACAGTATCCTACCCTTCATGCATATTCTAGGCTTCCACACTAATGTGGGTAACTTAGCCTATCCCCATATCCTAGCCTTCACACGACCCTAGCTTTTCCACACTACGTGGCCCTGCTAGTGTATCGCATAAACTAGTATACCAGTGAATAGCAGAATACAGTGTGTAGTAGAACTAACCATATTATAATGGTACTTAGTGGAGTGGAGTGACTTTTCATTTGTTTTTTTTTTTCTTGAAATAACCGACGTATACTGTGAAATTTCATATAAAACCCGTAGTTAAAGCGGTCGCAAAATCCGAGAAGCAAATTTTTTACAGAAAAAGCGTCCTTCCTCCAAAATTTCCCCCATTGATAAGTGATAATATAGCATTTATTGGGGGGAGACGAAAAAAACTAGAAAAACAGTACAGCGATTGATAAACAAGGGGTTTAGGGGCAAACCCTTGTCTTGTGGAGCTTCCAGAAAAACACCGGGTTTTTCAAAAAGCAAGTTATACTTTTGTATTTATCAAAAACACATATTACTCGGGGGATAATTTCAAGTGACCCTTTATGCTTTGCCCCAAAACACCGACCAGTATGTTTTAAATAAGTGACCCTGACAATCAGATCATGGTCCAACCCCCGATGGGGCCGAACCCTTGACGGAAATTTACTTCTGCTAAGGCTCTCAAAGGGGAAGAGCGAAAAAACACCAAGGGGTAAATGTAAACCTTTGGGATGGATGGGGGTTTAAGGTTGAGTAATTGAGAGGCCGTGAATAGATCGGTCCCATAATCGAGTTTTGATAAAAAAAAGGGTGAATGTAGGGAAAAGGGAGTTCAAGTTGTCCCCATGAAAGATGAGCAAGGGGTTTTAAAAAGGTTAGCGCTGTGACAAGTTGCCTTTAGAGAGGGAAATTGGGTTTCGGATAACCTCGGTCAAAGAGAAGGCCTAGAAACCTGACTATCAGTTTAGGGTATGGGGGCCTAGAGGTCAAAGGATGTCGGAGATGAGGAAAGTCTATGAAAATTTTTCAAAATAATTTATTTTTTTTGGGGCTTGGTGAAGCTTTTGAAAGAGTGTGTTGCCATGATTTTTTTTTTTTTTAAGTAGGAAAGCATTGAACTTTGCCTCATGGATTTTTTTTTTCTTTCCCTTAAAATTTCTTTTTAGCATGTAACATCGTGGGGAAAAAAGGGTCATTCACTGGTGAACTTCATTCAAAATTTGGATCAATCTTCTCAAAAATTGCCATTACTATTTCTATACAGTTGATAGCTTCTTCCAAATCCTGGGTTTTCATTTCTTTAATGGCAACAGGATGGATCTCTTTGTGAAATTTCTTTGCTCTTCAATCAGAAGATCTTGGTCTGTCAGAGCCTTGTCATGAGAAAGAAGCAATTCTTCCACATCCTCAGGCTCGACTTGAAATCACCACTTGCATTAGCTCCTAGCAAGTGTGTTAGCCTGTCTTTTGCAGCCAGGCATCGACTTCTCTTCCTTAGCAATAAATGTCCTAGATGGCATCTTCCAAAATAATGCAATCTCTTCCACATTAAAAATATGTTGCTTGGTATATCCACCACATTCTATTATCTTGGCTAACTCACGTGGATAATTTTCTAATGCTAATTGTCGGCGCTTACAGCTTCACCCTGCACTCTGATGTTGTGAAGTTGACTTCTTTCCTTAAAGCAGCCTCTGCTAGCTGAGAATTTATGTTCAGCAGTTTCCTCACCTCTCTCAGCCTTCATAGAATTGAAGAGATTTAGGGCCTTGGACTGGATTATAGCACATTGTGACTAGTCTGATCATCAATCCACACCATTAAAAGTTTTTCCATGTCAGCAATGAGGTTATCACATTTTCTTATAACTCTAATGATCACTGGTGTAGCACTTTTAATTTCCTGCACTTTCTCCTTATTGTTCACAACTGTACTGATGAGCCAAACCAAGCTCACATGCTATCTCATATTTATATCAATTTACTGTGTATTTACATGTATCATGATTCTTACATAATTTTGAAAAAAAAAATATATGACATTTAATGCGCCCAAGAGATTATGGCATCAAGAGTAGAGAGAGACTCTTAGTGATTTTAATATGTACCTGCATGCCAGCACAGTATATTTAGGTACACACGTTTAATTATGAGAGTACATATAAAATATGCAATAACCTTAAAACACTTGAAATTTTCCAGACAAAATAAAGAGATGTGCTCAGGGAGAATGTAAAACCAGGTGACCACATTAGAAAGACAGGTGAGGGGAGCTGTATAGTGAGTTTTGAGTCATAATTTGAAATGTCTTCATTAGCAGAACACTGTAAAGTGGGGCCCTACTGTATACAAAATTGACAAGATGAAAATTAGACACATGCAACATCTGGGTATCTTTAATGTAGAAGTTTCACCATCCAGTGGCTTTATCAGTACAAATTCTAGGACATAATTTGAAGATAGAAGAACTGTATACAAAAGATGTAATCAGTCCCTCAGCCTTGGAGTGAAGAGCACCGTAGTTGTGAAGAATAGGCAAGAAGGCTGGCACTTATATACATGTACTGGAGTCAGACATTGTCATTGGTAGGCAGGATTCCCCAGTGGAAGGTCATACCTAAGGTATGGGTTATAAGTGAAGAAGTCCTGTGAACCAAGATTCCATGATGTTGCATTGTTTGACAAGTTGTACATGAATGGTATACAAACCCATCCCTTGGGTATGATCTACTTCCACTGGGGAATTCTGCCTACCAGTGACAATGCTACTCCCCTGTCTTCTTGCCTTTGCACCAGATTCTTCACACCAACTCCAAGGCTGAGGGACTGATTACCTCATTTTCTATATATAGTTCTACTGTCTTCAAATTGTCCTAGAATTTGTATTGATAAAGCCATTGATCTTTTTTATAGGACAATATTAATAAATATATTTTTTTTAAATTCAGTTTTGTCCTTGAATAATTTCTCTTGCTCTGTCATTAACTGAAGAGTTCCTGTTGGGTGATGACCTGTTGGTGGTGCCTGTGGTGGAGGACGGTGCCACAACCCTGAAGGCAGTAGTGCCACCTGGATCATGGCTCCAGGCTGGCACTGACCAAGTCATCGAGGGACCCGTCACACTCTCACTCGACGACATCACACTTGAGAGCATTGTCTATTTCACTCGCCAGTCTAGTAACAATGTGTAACATTCTGAGAAATATAGCTGTATGACCCTTGTCGGTTTAGCACTTTGAATATAATAATCTGAGAAATAGTGTAATAAACTGGTAAATTAAACAATAGCTAAGTACAATATTTGAAATAAAAATTATGAATATACAGTGGACCCCCGGTTAACGATATTTTTTCACTCCAGAAGTATGTTCAGGTGCCAGTACTGACCGAATTTGTTCCCATAAGAAATATTGTGAAGTAGATTAGTCCATTTCAGACCCCCAAACATACACGTACAAACGTACTTACATAAATACACTTACATAATTGGTCGCATTCGGAGGTAATCGTTATGCGGGGGTCCACTGTATTCATGACCCATAAGGGTCATACAGCAGTTACAGAATAGGAAATAATAATCAGGTTTGGAGGGCAGCTCCATTTCTTCAAGTAAAGAACTCTTTACCAGCATTATCATTATAATCAAAAAGAAGCGCTAAGCCACAGCGCTGCTTTACCAGCATTAGGTATTACCCTTGAAGTGTTTGAAAAAACTTATATAGTACAGCAATTGCTAATGAGTGTTCAGTAAATCTTTTTTTTTTCAACAAGTCGGCCATCTCCCACCAAGGCAGGGTGACCCAAAAAGAAAGAAAATACTTTCATCATCATTCAACACTTTCACCACACTCAGTGTTTTTGCAGAGGTGCTCAGAACACAACAATTTAGAAGCATATACGTATAAAGATACACAACATATCCCTCCAAACTGCTAATATCCCAAACCCCTCCTTTAGAGTGCAGGCATTGTACTTCCCATTTCCAGGACTCAAGTCCGGCTATATAAAAATAACCAGTTTCCCTGAATCCCTTCACTAAATATTACCCTGCTCACACTCCAACAGATCGTCTCCATTCACTCCTATCGAACACTCGTGCACGCCTGCTGGAAGTGCAAGCCCCTCGCCCACAAAACCTTCCTTACCGCTTCCTTCCAACCTTTTCGAAGACGACCCCCCTACCCCACCTTCCTTCTCCTACAGATTTAAATGCTCTCCATGTCATTCTACTTTGATCGATTCTCTCTAAATGGCCAAACCACCTCAACAACCCCGTGACTAATACTTTTAATAACTCAACACCTCCTAATTTCCACACTCTGAATTTTCTGCATAATATTTACACCACACATTGCCCTTAGACAGGACATCTCCACTGCATTCACAACCCAAGCTTCACACCCATATAAGAGTGTTGGTACTGCTATACTTTCATACATTCCCTTCTTTGCCTCCATAGATAACATTTTTTTACTCCACATATACCTCAACGCACCACTCACCTTTTTTCCCTCATCAATCCTATGATTAATCTCATCCTTCATAAATCCATCCGCCGACACGTCAACTCCCAAGTATCTGAAAACATTCACGTCTTCCATACTCCTCCCCAATTTGATATCCATTTTTTCTTTATCTAAATCATTTGATACCCTCGTCATTTTACTCTTTTCTATGTTCACTTTCAACCTTTACACACACTCCCAAACTCATCCACTAACCTTTGTAATTTTTCTTTAGAATCTCCCATAAGCACAGTATCATCAGCAAAAGGTAACTGTGTCAATTCCCATTTTGTATTTGATTCTCACCCCTCTCCCGAACACCCTAGCATTTACTTCTTTTACAACCCATCTATAAATACATTAAACAACCATTGTGCCATTACACATCCCTGTCTAAGACCTACTTTTCCCGGGAAGTATTTCCCCCTTTTACACACCCAAACCCTAAACCTCACTACCCTCATCAAAACCTTTACACATTTAGTAACTTAATCCTATTCCATATACTTGCAACTTCGCCACTTTGCTCCCCTACCACTCTTCATATCCCTTTTCTAAACCCAAAAATGAAATAATTTCCCCTTCCTTTTATCAATGGTTCATATATGTCCATGAAAACATTTGATCTACACATCCACCACTCTGAAAAACCTTGCTCATCCACAATCCACTTCTGTCTTACCTCTATTCTTTCAGTAAAAAACCCTACCGTATACTTTTCCGGGGTTTTATTTTTTTTTTTTTCCCCCGGGCCCTACCCCCACCAGGGGGGTGGCCTAAAAAAAGAAAAACTTTCACCATCATTCACTCCATCACTGTCTTCCCAAAGGGTGTTTTAAACCTAAGTTTAAACTGCAACTTTAAAACACCCCTCTTCAGAGTGCAGGCACGGTACTTCCCATTTTCCGGGACTCAAGTCCGGCCTCCCCCTTTTCCCAAACCCCCTTCATAAGTTACTTTCTCACACCCAACACTTGTAAAATTTTAAAAAAACCATTTGTCTCCTTCATCCTATAAAAACCAGCTCACGTTTGCCGCTGGAAGCCCAAGCCCCGCCCCCAAAAACCCCCTTTACCCCCCCCTCCAACCTTTCCAGGCCGCCCCCCTCCCCGTTTTCCCTTCCACTAAAACCCGATACACTCTTAAAGTCACTCTTTTTTCGCTCCTTCTTTACTGCCCGAACCCCCTCAAAAACCCCTTCCTCACCCCTTTGGGGACAACATTTTTGGTAATTCGACCTTTCCTAATTTCCCAAAAACTACGAATTCCTGTTTTATATTCCCCCACACATTGCCCCGAATGACATCCCCACGCCCCCAGCTTCTCCTCGCTCCCAACATTCATCCCCATGTTTCCCCCCCCATAAGAGCGTTGGTAAAAATATGCTCTCATCCCCCCTCCAAGGACAAAGTTCTTTGTCTCCAAGACTCCTAAGGCACCACTCACCCTTTCCCCTCATAAAATTCTATGTTTACCTCATCTTTCTTAGACTCATCACTGACCATCCACCCCCAAAATATCTGAATATTTTCACCTCAGATATTTGGGAGGGGAGTATCAGGGAGGGGTTATGAAAGATGGGGGAAAAAGGGTGAGTGGTGCATTAGGTCTGTGGGGACAGACCCCTAATGCCCCCACTCCCTTTCCGGGTATACTCAGTAAATTTTTTATTATTTTATCACACTACCGATTCCCCCCAAAGGAGGGTGGCCGAAAAAGAAAAACTTTCACACATTCACTCCTCACTTCTTCCCAGAAGGGTGCTTTACACTCGTTTTTAAACTGCAAATTAAACCCCTCCTTAAAGTGCAGGCACTGTTTTCCCCATCCCCAGGACTAAAGCCCGGCCCTCCCCGGTTTCCCCCAAACCCCTTCATAAATTTTTACTTTGCTCACACCCCAAACAGCACGTCAAGTATTAAAAACCCGTTTGTCCCCCATTCACTCCTATCAAACCGCTCACGCATGCTGCGGAAGTCCAACCCCCTCGCACAAAAAAACCCCCTTCCCCCCTCTCTCCCCCTTTTCCCTAGGCCGACCCCTCCCCCCCCTTCCTTTCCACACAGACTGATACACTCTTAAAGCATTCTGTTTCCTCCATTTTCTACATGTCCGAACCCCCTCAAAACCCCCTTCCCTCACCCCTCTGGAAACAGTTTTGGTAATCCCGACCTTCTCCTAACTTCCAAAAAACTACGAATTCTCTCCTTAAAGGGGGGGGCCCCTTGGGGGGGTGAAGGGCTCTTGGTCGGGGGATTTAGACCGTCGGTCTACTTCCTCAGCCGAAACCTAATTACCCCCCTTTCCCCTATCCCATCCCCCCTTTTTCCTTTCTCCCCCTCCCCACCCCCCCCTTTTTACCTTTCCCCTTTTTGGCCTTTTTTTTTTTCCCCCCGGCACGCTGTTCGTGGTGGGGGAAAAGGGTCCCGGGGGCCTCTATTCCGTTGGGGTTTCTTGGGGGTGGGGTAGTTTGCCGTGGAACGGTTTGCCTGGGGTTTCCCGATCCTCCCCGGTTCCCGGGAGGGTGGTTTTGGGATCTCTGGGGCGAGGGTGTTCTCGGGAAAGCCCCTTTTGGATTCCGGGGGGTGGTGGCCGAAGGAGGTAGTTTGTGGCGGTTTTTGGCCGCCCCTCTTTTGTCCCCCGGGGGGACTCGGAGATGTGAGGTTGCATCCCGGATTGCCGGTTTATGGCGAGGGGTTTTAGGGATGGCGGGTTCCATGCTGCATCTGCCTTTTGCGGGGGCTGAGGTCCTCTTGGGCGCGGAGGGAGTTTTTGGGCCCTTTCATTCCTCCTGGAAACTATCCCCCCGGGGCCCCCCCCTTTTTTCTTCTTTTTTTTCTTTTCTTCTTTTTTTTTTTTTTCTTAAAAACAAAAAAAAGAAGAAAACCTAACCCATGGCACCCTAGTCATGAACCTGTTTCCCCCGGGCCCCTTTTGATACCGCACCCCATTCTGACCCCGCCTGTCTTTGGACCACTCTTCGGCATCCTCATGCGGTGCGTTTCCTCACCCGTTAGGTACTGGGGGCCCTCGACTGACCCTTCGATTCATCTCCCTTTCGTCTCCTTGACTTTGCTTGGCCTCTCCCTCTACGATGCAGCAATTTTCGAATCGCGGCCCCATTCCACGTGGGACCAATCTGGTCCCAACCTAAACACAACGAAAATACCTGCTGATGATACTTCCCCATTTTCTTTCTTCCGAAAAGATCGCCCGTCCTTTCCTCCCTTTTCCACCTCAGTTTCGGGACTGCACAATGGACTAAATTCTTCACTTTACACCGACTCCCTACTGCCTATCTTTCTGACCACATTTTGGGCAAGGCACTCCGCCATGTTGGAAAGATATTTCTTTTCATGCTTTAAGAGCGGTACGGCATCGTCACCGTACAGAATGCACCCGGTCATTTCCCCCCCCAAAGGAAGGTTCCCTTTTGTTGGTGAGGGGCTCTTTTATTTAGGGAATTGGATCTTTTGCTCCGTTCCCGAAATTTAACCGGGAAAGCCTTCCAATCCCCCCCAGGCGCTGTTAATCCTCCCGGGTTTTTGCGCTTCCCCTTGATTATAATAAAATTAAAAATTTCCCAGGATGGTTTCTCGCTTTTCCCCTATCGATAGTTTCCCGTAACTATTGAAAAACACATTCCCTCATTTTGTAGGGTCTGTCATTTTGCCTCAACCAAGTTCAAAAAATTTCCGACATGGGCATGACATTCTTGAACAGCTGGAACGCCAAGATCCCCAATCCTCAAGGTTGACACTTACGTTCTTCCCGCCCGGGCGGAGACGTACCCCAGCAAGTGGTCGTTTAACTTTTGCAGCCGTGAACTCCCACCCCAGTTTTGTAGCAGGACATTTGGGTTTCAAGTTCAAAAGGTGTCCCTACCCGCAACATGTTGAAATTTTTGGCGATTTGGCCATCCGCGAAATATTTCAGATCTTGCCGAATGCCCGTCTGTGGTGCCGATGGCCATTCAATACTCTTTCAATCGCCTCCCCCTTGCCTTAATTGTCATGAGGTCACCCCTTATATCTCGCTGTTTTCAAGTCTACTTAAAAGAGCGGGAAAATCCGTTACCCCAAAAAGGCAGAAGGTCTCCCTTAGCCTGGCGTTTTTATCTCCGCCTCCAAGGGGACTACCCCGTGTTTCTTATTTTCCCCTTTTCAAAAATCCCCCCACTTCCGGTATCCCATCTTCGCACCCACTCTGTGGTTACCTCTCCCATACTCCGTAGCTATTTTTTTGCTGCCTTTGGGTCAGACGCCCTACTTCAACGTCTCAGTCTGATCTTGCTTCGTGTTCTCTTTCCCCCCCCCAACCTCAGTACGACGGATCTCTATGCACCTCCCCCCAATGTCCCTCTATTCTCAAAAATCAAAAAAAGGGCCGTTAAAAACCCCCTACCCTCTTCCCCCTCCTCATTTTCCCTTCCTGTTTGTACCGGTTCTCCCCCTCTCACGGCTTGTTCTAGTGTGAGGTTACCTCCTCCCCCCCGTACGTACCCCCTCCCTGTTCCCCCCAAATTTCTTCTTTCTCCCCCTCCCCGGGTTTTCCTCTTCTGCCCTTCCAGCTTCTACAGTCCCCCCCCTTTTGCCCCCCTACCTTGGTCAGTCCCTTACAGTTCCCTCTTTTCTATCCTCCCCCCCTTTTTTCCAATATTTTCCCCATACGACGTCTCTAATTTTGAAACATTGAAACAATTCTTAATATATTGCAGAGACCAAACCATCAAGGACCTGTCCACCCTCCGCTCCTTCCTCTCCCTACTCCACGCGCAAATCCTTTCTTCACGGCACCGTTTCCCTTCGCTGCTTGAAAGTTTTCCACTCCTCCGCATGTGGACTTTTCTAACCCCCCTAGTCCCTGGAACCCCTTTCCTGCGGGTTTCAGGTTTCTTATCATTGCCCCAATCATGGCCCATTTACAGTGGAATAACAGGCCCAGGGGTAATCGGGCGAGTTCAGATGTTTTCTCCCCGTTTTCCCTGTTTGGGGTTTGCTTCGGAACCAAAATTACACTTGCTGTTACTCTCCCCTCTGGGTATAATTTATTGTATTCTTCAATCCTTTTCCTGATGGGACCTTTAATGAAAATGCCCTTTTCTATGCACGTATTCTGTTCCATCAGTATTTGTTCGTACTTCGCTGCATTTCACCAGCCCCTACATTGCATAGGTGGTATACGCTCTGTTCTTTATATCTTTCCTTCCGGGCATTTTTTTTCCGGGTTTGCCTTTTTGTTTCGTCTTTTCCACCACCCATTCTGTTTTGGGGATTTTAACGCCCACCTTTCCCTGGGGGGGGGTCTCATGTGATTCCCGTGGCATTCAGTTAAGGTTTTTTTGCCCCCCCCCTCCATGTTTTTAAAAACAGGTACCCCACCCATTTTGATCCTCGGTTTTTACTTCTCAGTCTGCT